CCCCTTTCACTTGTGAGTTGTGAAAGTTCATTTTCCATTTTTTTTCGTGCTTGAAATACATACATGATTTTTTTTTTTTTTGACATACATTGTCCATGGGTATACTATTCATGAGATTACATAACATACACTCTCACTTTGCTAAGCCTAACCCAAGACTGAAATTAACCCTAGTTTTTTTTTTTTTTTTTTTGAACAGCAAATAATTTTATTGAGAATATAGAGTACAAGGGGTACTCAAACCCATTAAATTCACCAACTCCTACTTTTACATACCCAAATCATAAGAAATAGCCCCTTAATTATGCACCCTTTCGTTCACTATATTAGGTCTTGAAACATGCCACTGGATCAATTAACCAATCTGAGAGAGTAACAGTAGCCCAATCTTTTCTTCCTTTGATCCACCAGAAAGATCTCATTTTGATAAGTTCTAAGAGTGTATCAGGATTTACCTCTTTGTTGTGGAAGATTTTCTGGTTTCTAACAATCCAAATGGACCAAACGGCTATTTTCCATATGCTATCCATGCCTTCTCTAGTTTTTGAACCTTTGGTATTCATCCCGAGGAGTTGAAAAGTGTTCCAGCAGTCTCTATTCACCATCATCTTTGACCCCCACCACTTAGAGCAAGCCTTCCATACCCACCTTGCAATTTTGCAATTTAAGAACAAATGAGTAGCATCCTCTTCTTCTTCGTTACAAAGGGCACACTTAGTTTCAGTCATGTCCTTAATGATCCCTCTTCTTAGCAAATTAGCTTTGGTTGGAATTTTATCCAATACTAATTGCCAATTGAAAGCTGAAATTTTACTTGGAAGGATGGGATTCCATATTCTTTTGTATTTCTTTTCTTCATTCGATTCCCCTCGCTCCCTTGTTAGAAGATAATACGCAGTTTTGGTTGAATATTGGCCTCCCTTGTCATGAATCCATTCCCATCTCTCAAGGTCGCCTTCTGCTATCTTCACGTTTTCTATCCTCTTTTGGAGTTCCACGGCATCGTCGGCTTCCCACTCATACAAGTTCCTTCTCCA